AAACTAGTAGGCGTGGATGCCAACACCTGTATTCAGACATGACGAATACTACAAATAAAGTTGTTACAATCTCCAAGGTGTTGTTGATCTAAATACCCACATCAAAGAAACGTCTACGTTCTTGTTTGTATCAAATAATTTGCTAATTAATAAGTTAGCGAAGTTAATCAGTGCGGAAACTAAAGTGAAGATGCAGGTAGTAAACTGCAAGCTTCGATATGGGCTTTGGGAATCATAGAAATTGTTTTGTTCACAAACTGATGATCTTTCTATACATGAACGTGAACTCTATCACTTCAACATTCGTCGAATGAGCGACGGATTTCGCAGGGATACAGTTCATGACTTTTATAGTCCATGCAAGTCCCATCTTCTAATTTGTACATGTTTTAAAAAATGGTCAGATTGCTCTTTTATTTAGTATAGAATTGCCGGTAATAATTGTATTTATTGTAATTTACTGAGATATACATCAATATCTTGTCTTCAGTAAAGATCAATTCATTTCCTATTCCATAGGTAATAGAAAAATAAGTCAAATCATGATTGTGTTGAAGAATTCGAGTGTGTGAGTTTATTTAAAAAAATCATATGTAGATATTACCACTTTTCAAATAAAGATCAGGGGCATATTTTACATTTTTTGTCCCGATTCCTGCATCCTCTCCATTAGTTTGGATATTTATACACCCCTCTTCCGGCATTGAACTTGATGACTTTGGTGACAGACAGTACATGAGAGGAAATATCAGTTGCCCCGTGAAACTTAGAATATACCATTGTCGTTCCATTTAGGAGATACCATTAGCAATACCAGTTTTGCGGGAGGACTACCTCTCACTCACTTCCCAATAGAATCATTACAAGTGAAAATGGGTGAATTTCCTTTGGATCTAAGGAGACAGATTTGTCAAGTAAATTTAGACAAAGTATAGAAAGTTACCCAAACCTTCCACTATCACTAAAGATCGGGCCATGTTGGCAATTTGATCATATCAAGGGAAAAGCTTTTCTTAACAAACCTTTCGGGTATAGAACCGGGAATAAAATTTAAAAAACTTCATGATATATGCAGAATCTGCCGTTCCATCCCCATTCCCAGCATGGGTTTTTGAACCCCCACTGGTTTCGACCAAGCTCTCGGACTACATTTAAAGCCGACCATCCGAATAAACTACAGCAAAAAGATAAGTTTTTATTAATACGAAATGATCGAACCAGTTGCATATATACATTTTCAAGTTCATTTCAAGTTAATTTTATTCAAAACCACACAAACATGATGTAATTTGTTACAAGTGATAGGTTCCGGAGAAGGGCCAATGCTCAGCTGCCTTTAGTTTTATATCCCACAAATTTGTGTACATCAATGCAAAAGATCAACGAATTTTACCTCTTCGTATAGAGCCGAGTTGGCTGCCATTGTTCTTGCCCTTCGATGAATCGAAGAAACAAATATATATATATATATATACAGAAGCAGTCAATTTTAGTCAATATCGAATCTTATGTCACATAAATATTTACAATACTGACCTGATTAAAGGATAGAGGGATTGAATTCTCTTTGGAATAGATTCTAGGCCACTGTGGGATAGTGGGAAATGAAAGGCAGATTTCTATGCAACCAAAAAGATGATACCCAATCGGCTTTAAAGACTATTCAGCCAGACGTTATCTCACAATATTCTTGTAAATAAGGGTGTTTTTCCTACCGGAAAAGAGCTCATTAACATCACCTGAATGGAGAGTGTCGTAAATGTAGATTAACGTCTTGACAACGGATATTAGAGGCTTAGTGCCAGGCTGGGATTCGAACCTGTACCCAAGGGGCCAGAAATCCATTTTCAAAGTAAAAGTGCCAGAATAAGAATTTGTACCCAAAATATTGTTATTCAGCAGGAAATAATTGAAAACCAACATTAAAATCATTCAAAAGCCACAGTAATGTGGGCACCCGAAAGTCACATATATTTTTGTGGGGATACAAGATTTCAAAATTTGGGAGGTGTAACGCTAGGGATGGCGAACTCAAAACATATGGGGACCGTTTCACAAAGCCTTTTTTCAATGACCAATGACACAAATCAGTGACAAATCTGCTGATAACCAACCAGAAGCATGGATTTCAGTAGCTTATAAGAAAAACTGCCATTTGTCACTGATGACAGGTTTTGTGAAACACCCCCAGGTCTCATGAAAGATTTTCAACACTTGCATTCGGTAAATTTTTGTCTGGCTTGTCATTAGTATTGATACTGTACTCCCTGATGACCCTGCAATCATGCCATTACACATGCTTTAGCCGAGCTACCATGAAAAGGGCCTCAACATTCCAAGGAATTTCTTCCTATATACCTAATAAACCATTTACCTCACCTATCGCTTCCCATTCAGTATTCTCATGTGTTATGATGTCATGAGGGTACTAACAAAGGGCATCTTATTTCAAAAGAATGCAAATATATGACGTGGATTTCTTGTGAAGGGATCCACCACCATCTTTTGAATATTGCTAATCAACTGTGTGTTGTTCACGCTCCAATTTCAGGTTCCTCGCTGCACAAATATATATTTTTTCTTTCATTAGTTCAAAGGTATTTTTGTCTTCTTCCAGTGCCTTTTCTGTAACATTTTACAAAGTCTTGAAATATAAAACATGAATAGTAACCGTGGTAACATGAAATCAAATCGAAAGCAAGTAACAAAGGGAAAATGTGCTAAACCAATAAAGCACATATATCACTTTTTTCTTTAAGGTACAATACAAGCAGAACTAGATAGATAATTTTTTTTTAAAAAGTCAGCAAGGTTATGCGAACGGGTTTCTCTTGGTATAACACTAATATATTTGCTATCATTGTGAATTTCCTTATTATTATACCAGTATCAGAGAGGAGATCATACACTAATATCCATTTCATAAATAGGATTGTCATGACATTAAAAACTCGTCCAAATTGTAGCTATGTATAAAAAACATATTTTCCGTCTCTTTTTTTGTTGTCGTATTTATGTCACCGTTTCCTGCAAAATCACAGAAGGCGGTCTTTTCCTGTTCCTTTTCCAAACATGCTATTCCTGTCTGCGTATGAGTTCCGGATGTGTCATTTCATAATTATGACATCGTGCACGCATGATAGATATAAATTTTGTGTTTTAATTGGGATGTTGTGCACATTTCAAGGTTTGAAAAATTAGGTTATTTCTTCAAAAAATAACAAATTTTACGAAAAGAGGTCAAACATTTCGGGGAGGAACCCGCTACTAGAATAACATACTAGAACAACATTCCGTGAAGGGTACATTTGTAATTTTTTGTTTTTACGCGATGAGTCCAAATCTTTTTTTAATTTTTATATATAGAGCACATTTTGTTTACCATTTTTCAGGCAGCATGGGTTATGATTCGTTGAAAGTGCTCTTGAAGGTCCGTAAATAGGGGGTCATTTTAGAGAACCCCTGTGAATGATTATGAGGTGACGTCACCATGAACGAATTAAGTTTAAACTTGAAAAGGGATGATTGTGTTCTTGCATGTCTATCATCCTTCCTACACAGAATAACATGAAATTTACTGCATTACTTTTTTCTTTTCTTTAAAAACAAAAATTATAGTTTCTCTTGTAACGTCATGAGTCATATTCAAACCATTAACATTATAATGCTTTTCGAAAGCAATGAAAATCTGGCATATTTAGACTCACTCCCTTCCCCTTCTTTATATTTGTCCACAATGGATATTTCTATCATTTCTATCAATATTAGAATAATTGAAAGAAACAAGCATTAAATCTTTACAGAAAGAACAATAATGATAATGATAATGATGATAATAATAATAATAATAATAATATTTCTTGTTTACCAAGGGTAGCCTCATCATTATTCATACTGTTCTCCCTGAGGGCTCTGCAATCCTGCATCATATATTGAATGTGCCATCTTCTAATGTTCAATGTGATCAATTTTAGCTGTAAAGGGTAAACCGAGCACCTAATTGGCTAAATACAGTGTTCATTCCAATGCATATAGGGCTGCAGCGTCCAAATGATTGTATACGTTTGCATTAATCTTGTATTACAAGACTCAAAGGCCATTTCTATATACTTATTGTATGTGCCATAGAAACCAAGATTACATAATATGTCATTGTGATGTTCACAAGTTTAAAAGATGACGTGTAAGGCAATTAATTGAAATTGCCTTAAGTTGTTTTTCAAAATGTATTTGTGATCGTATTAAATAATGAATAAAAGGTATAGATTAACAATTAAACTTATACAAATCCAGTTTATAAGTAATATAAAACTTATGGTTTGCATCTTTAGAAACGTTTGGAACTTTAAACAACTCTTCAAAGTAAGTACGGGTCATGATGGTATTCTGAATGTCGTATATACCGGGTTTATGCAATACTGATCAAAAGCTTAACATTTGAGAATTCGTAAAGTGTCCATAAGTTTTATTTGCCTTCATGAATATTCTTTGCCCTAAATGGAATCAATTCATATGACACATGATATGTAGACTGCACTTTTACTTTTATAGCCCGAAGTACACTACGCGATCGTCCTGCGATCTAATTTTCGAAAAAATGTCAATTTTACTAATCTTGACAAACATCATCTTCCTGATTTGGCTTCTAAATAATGATAAGCACACTAACAGTCACAATTTGTGTGCATTGAAGTCTTCTGGTAAGAATAACAACCTAATCTGCTTCAAGTCGTAGACAATCGCATTGACATCACTACGATTCTGAGCCGATTTAGCTTTTCCTCTTCCAAGCAGGCATGAAATTCCTTTGAAATTTAGATTTTCTTCTTCACTTGACTATTCTCATCGTCGGTCATTAAGATGTTACATGTTTAAATGTTCGTATCAAATTCTATTGCAAATTCATCAAAAAATAGGATCCTATAGTCGGACCATGACCTGTGTGGAAGGCATATGTCAATAAATTATGAGTAAAGTTTGTGTTTTTCGTGATCACTTACCTGTTGCTAAGAGGGCAGTCAGTGAAATGATCACAAGGAATATAAACCTATCTTGCTTCGTCATCGTCATTATCACCGTCATCGTCGTCACCACGATCTCCGACAAAGGCATGCGTTGACTGTCTGGTATAAGAGTGGAGAGTGATAGGTAATGATATTAATCAGTGTTTGACGGGAGACGAGTTGATTCTAAACACCCCCGCTGTGTCTAGATTTATCTATCAAAAGAATGTTTTGTGACTGAAGGAAATCGCTCATGCAATGCTTTGAGGTTATGTTCTCCCTGGGCATGCTGTGGACCCTGCAAATATTTTGTCATCCTTGCTATATCTGAATAGAATCTGCTCCTGCTATCTGAATAGAAGAGTCAACTTGAGCAGATCATAATTTGATGGACCTCAAACCAAGATGACTGGCAATATCAACACCTTTACCCTGGTTTATATCACACCGATGAATTGGAAGAAAGTCTGTCGTTATGGTCGAGGGGTTTGATATTGAGTGCGATAATATTATCATCAATCAAAGGTTTCATGATATAGAAATTCATCAAGGGCATATACGTGGTTACATTTGTAGGTCAGACTGTTATAAAAGACGAGGAGCTTCAGGAGGGGCCTTAGGAGGCCGGGGCGCTTTTTTGGCCTCATTAACAAATAATTAATGCAAACTTGAAGAGAAATGAATTTTACCTCCATTAAAGGTTTCTAACTTTTCTTGTTCTTTCGGGGATATTCCTTAATCATTTCATTCTAAAACAGCTTGATAAACAATTTCATGACCATAATCAAAGTTGTAACTACTATCTTTAATATCCCACTGTCGAATAAGTAATCAGAAAAGGAATGACCTATATACGCCAGTATGATATTATGAAAATGATGTTCCACGCAGTTTATAAATTGAGCACTGCTGAATGTTGTGTCCGTTTACACTCTAGGCACCTTCTCAACTCCATTTGAAAGGATGTTGTTTACCGTTCACATGTCGCCGCGATTTTTAATTTTTTTATTTTATTGATTGATGTATGGTGGTGGTGGTTATTTTACCTGATTGCTAAGAAAGTATAAAGGCTTGTAAATGAGAAACCAGACGGTCGACGGCTTTAGGTCCTCTCCGAAGGACCTCGTAATGAGGATTAAGGCCTTACCAAAGGGCACTGGCGCGTCGCCTTGGTTTCGAACCAGGGTCACCGGATTACGAGACGACTGCTCTACCGACTGAGCTATCGCGCCTCATCAACTCCATTGAAAGGATGTTGTTAACCGTTCACATGTCGCAGCGATTTTTATTTTGGTGTTTTTGATTGATAACATACAGATATAGATCTAAGATTATATACAGAAGTCCACGTCACGGAAATGTTATAAAAGCTTGTCAACTCGATTGAAAGTATGTTGTTTATACCGTTCACATGTCCCTGCGATGTTGCTTGGATAACATTAAGATATACAGTACATCACATTATACACTATGATTATTTCTTTTTCTCTCTCTCTCTCCCACATATTTTCCCTCTTCTCTAATCCCTTAAAATTCGAGAAGGATTTTCATTATTTATAATTATAGCCTAACCTTCCTTCCAAAATCGGTAAAACATTTCGAACAGTCCTTAGAGTATGTTGCTTTATCCTTTTGTGACGTAACATTATTTCAGATTATAATAAATTGGTTTGAGAGCACAAATAGCAGCTGAAACATAATCTACAGTTATATAATGTATTTCAGGGACACTTTCTGAAGAGAAAAAAAGAAATAGATTATATAAATACACATACAGAACGAACAAATAGATAGACAGAAAAGATGTATATAAGACGGGGATAAATAAGGAGATTGAAACTAGATACACAACAAGAGAATTAGGAGACAATAGAAGATATCCGCCCACAATAGTATAAACATAGGAACAAGAGGTGTTTCAATTCAAGTTCAGAGTCGATTGTAAGTGGGTAAAAACGATCATCAATGGCTTTACAATCTGACCTACATAGCTCTAAAAAAAATACCAAGGAATCATTGCCCGTTATTAAATTCATCCTGAAAAAATAGTTCATTTATGATATCACACAATTTTGCTTACTCATACACTTTATGTTTGCATAAAAGATTATCACTGGCTTCAATAGACCAACTACTGTATTTATTCGTATTATCTAAAAGGGTACACTGATTCAAACGAATCAAATAGAACAGATCACGTGATTCACAAAAAAATCATTTTCATGAAAGAATTAAAGGGTGTTCATTATAATTCAGGCTTCCGGCAAAATGCTCCATCACCAATTGTTCTGGTTTTTATTGCGTCTAAAATAAAGGTTAGGTGTGCTTTTGAAATCGGGTATTTGGTTGGTTTAGGGTTAGGGTTAGGGGTAGAGTTAGGGTTAGATACAGTGTAGGGTCCAGGATTGCATAAAATAAATGTTATACCCTAATAAACAAATTGGTTTGATGTGTTCAGCGCTTCAGAATATATTCATTATTTCAAAGGACATATAAATACCCCGCATGGCTGAATCTGAAAAAAGAATCAAACTTTAAAACTTCTACAAATCGAACTGAAAAAAAATATGACGCATCGTTTTCCAATTCATAACGCGTTTTGCAATTTCATGTACTGCAATTATTACTGTCTGCTCATATGAATATCACATTCATACATACTTATTCGTTATGTTCTCTAGACCTTACTCATAAAACCATGCTAAGAGAATGATAATCACATAATAAGACTCATTTCACTCACCTTGCCTCTGTCCGACAGTCTTGGTTCAGATGATGAACGCGAGTCAGCTCTCGGTCTGCCCTCTAGAAACCTTTTTCTCTATTCCACAGAAATAAAAAAGACTAGAGACGGTGCCCCATTAGCCTTGACTCCGCGCCACCATAGGGGCGCCGCTATGGGAGAGGGGTGGGGGCTCTAGGACCTTCTAGAATCGTTTTTTTCCCTTTTTTGTGCTTGGTATATGTTCGTTTGATTGTTTGATCGGACGACTCTTTCTTTTGTTATTATTGCTATTGCTGTTGTTTAAAGCATGGCTTTTCGGTAGGTAAAGTTTCCGTAAAACTTTAGCCCGACAACGACCCCCCCCCCCATATAAAATATTCTTGCGACGCCCCTGATGGCCAGGAACAACGGTATATATGCATAAACACCTTGCTACCTAGGGCGTAACCAGCGAAACCACCGATAGTTCATAATGTCTTCTATCATAACCATCTGGGTATAAGTTATTTATTTTAAACAGAAATGTAGACTTGATTTCCTGGTATAATTGATAGAATAAACTTCTTAATCCATGAAATGAATGTATAATACAGGGAATGTGTTGATGTTGTTGTATGCAGTGGTCACAATATGAACTAACTACGAAGTAATTAATCCTTCCCACATAACTTTTACATGTCACGTTATGGATTCCTTTATTTACCATCACGGATAAGTTGGCCTTATTGAAGAAGGACTCTGGATTTGGGGAGTGGTAGCCGAACCCTTCTTTACCCCCAGAACACACCTCCTGTTAATGAACTTGCCCTTTCAGAGAGAGACCTTTCTAACAAAGAGCCCCTCTCATCACAACATCTTCCCATTGTAGTAGTGTTCAGTTTTGTCTCTATACGTACTCTTCGACCTTCACAAACCGCCGTTCCCATCCATTTCAAATACCAATGCCTTTAAACAATGCTGGCCCAAGACCTAGAAATCTTTGCTCTCCTTCTCTTAAAATCAAGAGCATTGTTATGGAGTGAGACTGAACAAGACACAAATATTATTTTTGCGTCAAAACTAGAATGTTGTTTTTGACACCAGGATGACAGTAGTCACAATATCTAAAGGCTTGCGTACACGTTTGAATTAATTTGTCCACTGTGTCAGCCTTCCTTGTGGTATCACCTAAGATGAAAAGTATTCTCTGTAGAGTTGGTAAAATCGTAAATTTGTTTTGAATTATTCGAACATAAACAAATGATTATTTAACCATTATAATGGCACGTCGTCAGTAATTGTCTGGTGTAACTTCAATTCAACACACAAACGGAAGAAAAACAGAAAGCAATGAAATAAGAATTGAACTTAGGTATATACTCCAAAAAAAATTGTCTATTCGAAAAAACAAAAAATGGCATTATAGTGAGTTAAACCTATTTTACAAAATAAACACAGTAAACATGTATAATTGCATTAAAATTTAAAATTAATGAGAGAGTAAAACATGTAGGTTGTATGCAAGTCGGGCCTAATATTTGTCGTGATGATATAGGTCAAGTTCTGCAAGATCGATTGACTTTTGTAACACAAAAATGGGAGAGGCAGGGAGGATTTGTTTTTCCCTTTCTTTTTTGATACTTTAGATGTACACTTCCATTGGAGCTCACATAATGAATATTAATGTTCTTGTCATGTTATGTTATCTTGAAAATTCATGAAAAGAAAATAATCTTAAAAACAAAGACACTGTCGTAATGATTTTATTGCATTTACTATTTTCTAACCAACCTGAATTATTGAATTAATACAAATGGACGAGGTATCACCGAATTCCAATATTCAGACATCAACTCAGACATTTTATTGATTCAAGTACATTAGCAAAGACGAAATATATGTTTAATCATTTATTTCATTGTTCCATTGTTGCCACGTTTGAACACCTCCATTACTAACTTCTTGTATATCGGTCACGTGACGCTCATGTCGACCCAATGTCTCTTTAATAACACGAGGCGTTATTAATGTTATTTTTACACAACGCTACAATGTTTATTCATTTTAGCTCTGAATTGTGCTTTAGAAAACATGTCGATAATGAAACATCTTACATCACATGTAACATGTTACATCACATGTAACTCTTACATCATATTCATATAATGGGTTATCTAAAGTTGAGAATAAACCAGTTCGTAGATATCTTCTTCGCATGGGCGGATAAAGGTCGTTTGTACAAAACTGGAAATCCCAATCGAGACGAATACTGGATACGCGTTCATGAAAGTGATGTAATAATTTTTAATTTATGCAGCGATGGTACATTCTATGATACACAGGTGGAAATATTCTTTTCAAGAGGGCAAACAAAAATGTCCTCATGTAGTACATCCATCGCCTTTTACAGTGAATATTCTAAAGTACACCGTAAGTGGCACTTCTATATAAAAACTACCTGTGATATTTGGGGCCATTGGTACCATTCACACGAACTGGTCCAATAGTTCTCTTCCCACAATCATTCAAATCTATTTTGGTAAGCTTTCGTTTGCTGTGCTACAAGACATCTTCCAAGGTTGATCAAATATCAGGATATTATATTGCACAATGTTAGAATTAGATGTATATATATATATATATATATATATATATATATATATATATATCATTACATAAGCAACTATTTTA